CCGCTCTTGAGAGAACAAAATTCCCACGCCCTCCCGCTCTTGGGAGGTTTTACTGTAATTATTTGTTTTTAAATAGATATTTTTATTTATAGAGGTGGTGGTGAAATTAGTCGGGTTAAAATTTTAGTTCATTTTGAAATGTTTGCAATATAAAGAAATATATGTCAAAACGAAACACAATCTGAATTCATAATTTTAATAACTTTGAAAGTGTTTCTTAAGACCATTTGTTGGAAATTTATACCTTTTAGCGGGTGACTATATTTAAATATTTATTATAAAGTAAGGCGAAAAAGTCGCACTTGGAGAAAAAGTTGCACCACTAATCCAAAGACTTCTTTTTTTTTCTATATTCCAAATTTTATCATTTTTATTGGATTGTTTTTTTGGAAAAAATAATTTTATTGTTTTCTTATCTTTTTGTTAAAATGGTTGTACTTTTTCTTGAATTATTAAAAAATGTAAATTTTTATTCGGCAATTTAAGCCTTAAATCATTTTAAATAAACCCGAAATATTAAACTAAAAACACTAATATTTTACTATGCCATCTTTTTATGAAAATTTAAAAAACTATTAACAATGATTTATTTTTTTAAGTTTAAACTATATTATTTTATAACAACAATATATTATATTAATAGCATTTGTTTTTTCTATATTTAATAAAAGACAAATCCTAAAGGTTTAGTTTCATTCTCAAAAAAAGATCAAAATATGTAAATTTTCATACAAATGTTTATGTTTGAATTTACTAATTTATAATTGTAACTCTAATACACCACAATAAATAACGATAAAACTTTAATGCATGACATTATCGATACAATTTGTGTTTATTGAATTCAAAAATTTGAAACAAAATTAATCATCCATTGTTTTAAATCAAAACATTTCTGTATTTTTGTTGAAATGTTTAGAACACAAATCCACGTTTAATTCGATATATACGATATTACTTAGATATTAACAGATATTTTAAACAATTTGGCCACTCGTTTTTCTCTTCTAAAATGAAATGCATTGGAGATACACACAATTTATAAACAAGATCATAATTTAAAAAATAAACAAAAAACTTTAATTAAACGATGTTGATTATAAATTATTGTATTATAATTTTATAATATCATGTCTATATTATTAAACAAATTTATTTATCAAAAAAACAATTGATGAATTTATTATAAGATTGAGAAAATACAGTTCATTTAACCTTTATCATCATTTCATAACCATAATGACATAATTATATTGTTTAATTGTAACTTGTATTAATATTTTAATACAACTGTCATATTAAAATTACAACGAATTAAAAACATGAATGTTAATAATAAATAAATAACAGTTTATTTACTTGCTCACAACAATTACAATTATTAGAATATTTATTTATATTTTATATAAAATTACCCTATTTCAATTAAACCTCTTTGTTATATAAATTATAACCATTTCTAAAGAGTTTAATCTAATTAATAACACAATGGAAAAGGAATTAAAGAGGTCTAAAAAGGC